GTTGTATCTTAGAATCCTCATTGAGATGTACGGACCTATTGTACATGATCGGCCTTTACCCCATCCATATTTATTTTGTTTATGGTGTTAACAAATGTGAGACCCTTGCTTAGTGTATTAACTTGAGAGTGCTCTTGTTCTTGTGTCATCTTAATAGAAAGATTCTTCACTTCAATTGCTTTGTAATCAATAGGTAAAGATGGTGTCTTCGGTTTCTTTATCCTTGAATCTTTTGGATTTCCATTCAGTCTCTATAGTTCTATGTGAATCCTCTATATCTTGCTTACATGGGAGTAAGTTGGGTCATCCATTGTCTAGACTCTCTTTTCTTCTAGGACCTTGATGTTTTCAACCCCTTTGCTTAATATATTATGATTGAAATCCCCATTTATAAAACAATCTTATCTTCCTTCATTTGTGGTAATCAAACTTTACCTATCTCTTTTACTATAATTTGGCTAGTAGGAACATCTTTCATTTTCTCCATCTTTTCTTTTTCTAGTCTCTCCTTGATTCTCTCTAGGGTTTATTTTGTCAAGAATCAGTTGATCCCAATAACTCGAGTTGTTGGGAGAGGTTCAATCGTGGATCATATACCACAACACTAACACGCCCCCTCAAATGAAAGCCACCCACAAGGGCTTGAAGTTTGCACAGGTCTGAAGACAAGAACCATGTGCTTAACAAATGGGGGTCACCAGGAATCGAACACAAGACCTCTCGGTCACAGAAGGCTCTGATACCATGTCAATAACAAGTTGCTCCCAATAACTCGAGTTGTTGGGAGAGGTTCAATCGTGGATCATATACCACAATAGTAACACGCCCCCTCAAACGAAAGCCACTCACAAGGGCTTGATGTTTGCACAGGTCTGAAGACAAGAATACCATGTGCTTAACAAATGGGGGTCACCGGGAATCGAACACAAGACCTCTCGGTCACAGAAGGCTCTGATACCATCTAAAGAACCAGTTGGTCCCAATAACTCGAGTTGTTGGGAGAGGTTTAGTCGTGGATCTATACCACAACACTAACATGTTTACCATTTTTATGTACTTCTCTATAATTTCATATTTATTAAGCAGTGATTTCCTTTCCATTAGAGTCTCATTCATCTATATATATCTCATTGTTGTCTTTGCTATAGATAACAGGTTGATTGCTTGTTCGCAGCCAGCTTCTCCGCCATTGTTGGGGTTGCACAATTCCACATATAGGATGTATATTCGTAGCCAAATATCCTTTATGTAAAATATGCCTACTGTCTTGAAAATCATAAGATTACTACATGAAACCATGAGCCACCACAAAAAAAAAATTCTCAATCAATTTGTTCCAGTAACTAGAAAGCAAAAAAGGGATCCCCAAATTCGTAATCTCGAAACCCTTACATAAGTTCCAAGTCGTTGCGAGGATTATCTTCATCGATCGTACATTTTTTTGGAGCCACCAATCATCCCACCAACCCTATATTTCGTACCACCTCCATCATCACCACATCATAATCTTGTTCCTCAACGACCTTCGTGCTAGGGCTTGTTTTGTGTTCCCCTCTCCCCTTAATGGTTCAAGGGTTTCCTTTGTTACTATCTAGTCTTCCAAAGATTTCATGGCACGCACCGGACGTTCCAGATGTAATCAAGGTCACCAAAGTAAACAAATTGATAATCAAGACTTTGTAACACATATATTCAGTTCTCTAATCACCTTGCTCTTTTATCAAGAACCAAGACCTACTAATTGTAGACCTTCACAATTTTGTATTTGAAATAATTCCTAGTACTAGTTGTAAAAAAAACTCCCTCATTCTAATTAGGGATGGCAGTAGGTTTACTCATTGGATAATTGGACCCAATTACCATGATCCATATGGTTATTAGGTTGGACTCAAACAGACTCATATGCATTCTTAATAATTTTGGGTTTGGGTTGAGTTTGGATCGGTTCCAATTTGGGACAACTCATTTGGGTCCGACCTAAAAGAGTATTTGGATTTGTATAATTATAGACATGAAATATCATTATTAACCATGTCCAATTCACACCTTCAATGTGAGATTGATTCAGTTAGTAACTCTATGTTGCAAAACTGATTCGACCCATTTACTACATGTTTATACCTCGTTTACTTGGTTGTTGATATATTTTTACAATGTCCTTTGAGCCATTTTACGCTAGGTTTGGTCTTGTTGTGGCATGTTTCAGACATGAGCGCAAAAGGATCAAAAGTCGAACGAAAGGGATTAGGTTTGGCAATGAGTCGGGTTGGGTACAGATAGTGGGTATCCAATCCCCGCTCGTGAAGATATCCGGGTATACCGAAACACGCCCGAAGTAGGAGCATGGATAGTAAATCCTATACCATACCCGTACCCGAGCGGGTATCGGGTATGCCCGAACGACCCACAGATACCCGCCGAGATCCCAATTGTTCTTTCTTCCCTTTTTGTTCATAAAACAATGAACAAATCATAACAAAATAAAACCAAATATGAAATACTTAATGAGAACTAACATAATAATAAGTCTTTCACACAAATAAAATAACCCAAATCAAAAGACTACATGTAAACCAATTTCAAAGTGTACAATAAGAAAATCCCAGATTTCAACCAGTTTTTCATCAAAAAAGTTCAGCAGCAAAATTCCAGAAAAATTCCAGCACACTCCAGCAACATTCCATCAAACTCCAGTAGCAAAATTACAGGAGAGAAGAAGATTTCCAGCAGCAAAAGTCCAGGAGCAACCCTCCGATAAATCCCAACAAAATTCCAGACAGATTCCAGTTGATTCCAAAAAATTCCAGCAACAATATACCCTGCAAACAAGCAGATTTCCAGCAAAAAAACTTCAGCAACAAAATTCCAGAAACATTCCAGCAAACTCCTGACGGATTCCAACATATCCCAGAAAATTCCAGCAACAATATACCCAGAAAAAGCAGATTTCCAGCAAAAGTACTTCAACAGCTATTTTCAGAAACATTCTAGCAGCAAAACTCCAGCACACTCTCAACACAAGAAACCATCATTCATTAATCTTCTATCAATTGATAAGGTGCATTTTCATTCCCCAAAGCTTGATCTTCATGGATAAACAAGAAAGAAGATACATGAGCATTTTCAATTGTCATATATAGTATACTATTTACATTATGACAGATTACTAACATTCAATGTCATCTTCATGATCTTCGTCATTGAGCAATGCACAAATCTCTTCCAAAGCTTCTAGGATCAGAAAATAATTAATACAAGTGAATGAAGAGAAGTTATATAAAGATAACTAATAAGTTAGTAAAAACTATTGAATAAGATATATACCTATTGAAATTGAATTTTGCAGTCAACTTTTAGTACACATTAATGTCTCCATAGTGGTGTAGCCAAGTTTGCAACGATTAGGATTCAACACTCGACCACCGTTGCTAAAAGCCAATTCAGATGCAACAGAGGTAACATGGACAACAAGCATATCCCTCGCAATATCTTGCAAAATTGGATACTTAGCCCCATTCATCTTCCACTAAAACAAGATTCCGAAGTCAGTAGTCCAAGGTAAGATTTCCTCATTCAAATAATTTTCCAAATAAGTTTGAGTTGGTGTTCCTCTTGACTTTTTTCTTTGTTGTACAAATAGCTGAAAGTCGAGATCCACAGAGGAAGAACTACCAAGTGAGTGATCACTTGAACCACCAGAAGCAACCATGGCATTCTTATTCTGTTTAGCCTGGTATTCCACGATTAAATCACTCAAAACAGCCCTGACTTTGTCCACATCCAAGACACACTGCCCCTTATCAAACTTCCGAGCATAATAATCCACAATATGAAGCTTGTATCTCGGGTCCAACACAACAGCCACAGCTAGTATTTCATGAATATGACCCCCAATATTTTAAGAACTTATCTCACATCAATTCAGCCATCTTGGAAATCATAGCATTATCATCAACAAGCCACTCACAAAGTTTGAGCTTCAAATCACATATCTTTGGAAAGAATAGATTGGCGGTGGGATACTTGGTACCAGAGAACAAATTAGATATCTCACGGTAAATGTCCAACTTCCCACAAACAATTGATTCAAATGCCCAATGATCACTAGTAGGCAAACAAGTATAGTGAGAGTTACGTTGCTTCAGCCTAATAAACACGTTTTGGTACGGTATGGCAGCAAAAAGCATAAGATAAGTTGAATTCCAGCGAGTTGGACAATCCAAACTCAGCTTTTTATCACAAGAAAATCCCAATTGCTTTGCTGCCCCCTCAAATAACTCTACCCTCCTAGGTGTAGCAGTCCAATAAGATACACTTTCACGAATTGTTTCAATACCATCTCGAAGCACATCCAACCCATCTTTAACTATCAAGTTGAGAATATGTGCAGAACACCTCATATGTAGTAAAACACCCCCCCTTAATCAAACAAGGCATCACCAATTTGTTCTTAACCTTCTCAATCATGGAATCATTAGTGCTACAGTTATCCAAGGTTATAGTTGATACCTTGGAATCGACATTCGAGTCCATCAAACAAAGCACTGTCAAACAAAGCAGTGGCAAGCCTATCACTTGTGTGAGGAGTAGGAACATATGCGAACCTAAAAAAACAGCATTTGCAAATGTTAAGATAGTGACTCTTTCTCACAAAATAAATAAGATAGAATTCAAATTATATACTAAATAATATACCTAAGCAATTGACTTCGAAGAATCCACGAATTGTCCACATAATGGGCCGTAACAGCCATGTAACCCTTTTTCTGGTTGATTGTCATCCACATATCAGTTGTAATGGCAACCCTCCCTTTGTTACTACCAACCAATTTCATGATCCTCCTCTTCTCACTATTATATATCTTAAAAATGTCACTTCTGAGAGTATTCCTAGTAGGAACTCTAAACAAGGGTTGGATGCCAGATAAGAATCTCCTAAAGTACAAATGATCCACCATAGACAGGGAATAATCATGCATAAGAATGGCCATAACAAGATCTTATCTCGGAACAGCTTCATTAAATTGAGTAGCAACCATTTCTTTCTTTCCCTTAGTGACAAAGTTAGCATCAAGTACCTTTTGCTTCCCATCTTGAATCTTTCTTTGTATACAAGTCTTGAGATGATTTCTCAAGTGAGAGGTACCATTATTAGATTCACCAGCAAGCAACTTCTTGTAATGACTGCATTTAGCTTTGATGAATTCTCCTTTTCTTATCTTTATAAAGTGCTGACACACATCACTCTTGAGATTTCCCAAATCAATAACCCCTTCATCATCAACAACAGGTGCGGGTTGTGGATTTTGTGCTTTTGGATTAGTATTGGTAGCCTCCTGATTTTGTTGTTCTAGATTAGTACCAGCAGTCTGCTGATTTTGTAGTTAAGGATTAGAAGCAACTGCATCCTCTTGACCCATTTTTCACCTGCAAATGAATACAAAAGCTGTAAATATTAGTTACTTACATAAAGTTCAGTAAAATTAAACATAGCAGCAACATTCTCAAATTGTCAAAGTTCTTCAATAGTGAAGAAAAAAGAGCATACAGCTAGCATCTTTCTGTCTAACCAAGTAGAACATTTGACTAACAAAGAACTAGCTCATCCCTTATACCATAAGCTTTTTCCTAGTGCAGCAACGGCAAATAACTGATTGCCTGTTCCTTGGTGACTCCACTCATATCCCTAAACCCAAACTAAAAAATCAAAAAGCCCCCCCCCCTGCACTATTGAAAAGGACGCAAAGAGACCTTATTACCGCTGTGCCGGTGCCGCAGTACGCAACAACTGCTCCAGCATGCACTGCTCCAACCTGCAAGAAAAATCCAGAAAACACAATTAGAAGAAGAAGATTATAATTACGGAGGATCGCATCACTTTCACAGTGGGTCATGGACTCGTCAATGAACCCAAAATTTGGAACCCATAAATCGAAAATTGAACCCAGAAATTGAAATCGAAAACGCAGGTCACAGTGGCAGAAAGAGGAAGAAATTAAAAATCTAACCTCTGTAAGATTGTAACAGAAGTTCTCTTCTCTCTTGGCTCCTGCTGCAAGATGTGGTATTGTTGTTAGCTGCCGCTCTAGTTGCCAACGTGACGCGACTGGAAAGTGGAAACCTTCTTGAGCAGAAGTCATTTAACGAAGAAGAAAGAAACGAGGGAGGACAAGGCATTGAATGGTTGGCTCGGCTCTGCCTCTGAGAACACTGAAGACGAAGATTCGAGTTGCGAGAATCGAGAGGAATGATCATGGCTGGGAATTTCGGTCGCACACGAAATTGGGGATTGGGGAAAACTGAGGAGTGATGGCCGATGGGAATAGGGATTTGTGTGGAATGTGGACAGGGGTAAGATGTAAGGGAATAGGAATAGCAGGGGTCATTAGTAATATCGGGCGGGTTTGGTTCGGATATCATAATATCCATGCCCAGCCCATGCCCGTGAATTGAACTTTCGGGTTTTGCCCGAACCCGATCAAAACCCAGTCAACTCGGGTTTTCCCCGCATTGACCGGTTTGGGTTCGGATGGATACCCGGTCTGGCGGTTTTAATCGCCATCCCTAAAAGGGATCGAAAAGGGGGCTAAACAATGGAAGATGCATAAATCACGCTGTGGAGGAGAAGATCACGGCAGAGACCGTGAAGTCCGCGGATAAACTGTGACCTCTAAAAAGTTCAAGGAACTTTCCGAAAGTTCGCGGGCAGCGCAAGATTACGGCCATAGACTTCCTTGAAAATTGAGGTTATCGTCGGTGATGTGGAGTTGCAAGCCCCAAGCATGAGATGCTTCAAATGATGTAAATGGCTCACAAACTTGGTGTGAATTGAGGCTCCACCCACAAGACCTCTTCTTCTTCTTTTCTTCTTCTTTCTTCTCTTTTCCCCATACCATGTAGGACATCATGGATTGACCACCATCACATCCGCCAAGATGGATCAATGATGGTGTGGCCTTGGCTTGGCAAAAAGCTACAAAGAGGTCCTTTCGAGAAGCGCATTAAGGCAGGTTGAAAGTTTTGGTAGCACTTGTAACTTGTAGAACCTTCATCTACCGCGACCTCGTCCTCCTCAACCTCCCTTCCTTCTTCCTTAATTTGATCCTCTCTTTGGGAACAACCAAGATCTTCCTCTTCTTCAATGCTTACTTCCTTCTCCTCAACCCTTTCTCTCAACCTTTCTCACTCTTTCTCAAGCACATGACGGATAGCAAGTTGCCAAGCCATGTCTTTGATAAGTTCATCTTGTTGTGCAACCCTCGACACTTGGTCTTCAAAGTTTTAATCGAGAAGGGGAAATGTGTGAAATTAATTAATGCAACACTCTTAGTCATCCTCTCCATGGGAGCTCTCCAAGGTGAGTTATTCTTGCTCCACGCGGTTGCCATTGATCGTCTCTCTCTTCCAGTAGTAAGAGATGAAGGCGTGCACAAATTGGGCTCTTAGGCTCAGATTGTGGAAGGAAGTCTTTTTGATATGGGGAAGATTCTTTAAATCCCCAATGGTATGGTGTTTCTTTGTGGGAGGGAGGTTGGTAATAGAACCCGAATCTTTGGCTTCCGCCATCTTGATCGTCCCATGAAGCTGCAGGGTAATCACTATCGGGTGGTGGTGGATACCTCTACACTTTGGTGAAATCATAAGAATCCATGATTCAGTACTTACAAGTTACAAACACAAATACACTAAAAATAAAGCGTGTTAATACCTTATTTTGGCCTGAACTAGGACCATATAACCAACTTTGGTCCGTGGTTTTAGAAATTAACATCCTGACTCAATTATGCAGCATATAAACTCAATTGGCCAGACACATGGTTTGATCGTGTTGACCGTTATTCAACATGCCATGTCATTGCCTTGTCAGCCTAAAAATCATTAAAAAATTTAAATTCAAATTATTTTCTTAATTTCTATTATTTATCATTTTCAAATTAATTAAATTATAAAATAAATATAAAATAAAAAGTGGCCATGAACACATATGAATCTAGCGAGTGGCGACCACTCTTATCCCTCCCTAGTATCTATTCTTTTTTCCATATCCCATTTCAATCGCTCCCGTACGACTCGCCTGAGAGCTTGAAGTTGAACTTTATCGGCAAGATTGACCCCCGTAAGATCCTCTCCCCCGGCCGCGTCTCCCCAATGGACTCTGATCCCACCGCTGGCGAGCTCATATTAATTGCGGCGTCGGCAGGGATGGCGGCCAGGGAACAACACGCTGCCTCTAGCACCCCTCCTGCTGCGGCGGCAGGGATTCGTTTGACGTGAGGTTGAATCTGAGAGGGAGTATAGGCGGGATCACTAAAAAATTCTCTCTCTCTCTCTCTCTCCTATAAGGTATAAGAGTTGAATCAAATCTCAGCCAATCCACAATCTCGTCCCTCATGCCCTCAAGCACAAGATCCACGCCGTCTTCATGGCGCCTTTGACGCCGGGGGATGCTTGTACCGAATTGCAACTTTAACTGGCTGAAAATTTGATTGCCTGGCTGTGAAGTTGGAAAAGTGAAGGAAGCGCATACGAGAGAGCGAGAGAGAGAGAGAGATGGATTCAATTCTAGGGTTTTGACTGGTGGGATATATTGGAATTGGAATCTGGAGGAGTCTGGAATAGAGAAACTTGGGTGGGGAAACTAGAGGAGAGCGAAATTTGAGAGGGGAGTTTGGGCACGAGTTAGGGTTCTGGGAAATTTGGGAGATGTTTATCGAAAAAGGTTTTGGGTTACAGTACTGTTGATGGGGGAGTATTTTCAGAGATGGGGAAAGGGGAAACAGTGGGGAAACGGCGATAGAAAGCAGTGGTAGAGAGATGGGGAAAGGAGGCTAGCGACGGCGGAGGATGAGATCAGAGGGATAAGGGAAGCGGTGAGGTGGAGGGTGTAAAGTGTGAACCCGTCTGCGAATTCTTTTGAGAGGTGGTTTGGTCAAACCATTATTTATGATGAGATTTTTTCTCATTATTTAATTATTTTACTCATTATTTATTATGTGAAATTTTGTTTAGCGATGACATGGCAGTGACCTGGACAGTTGACTAACGGTCAACAGTGTAGACCGTTCAAATTGACGGTCAACAGTGTAGACCGTTCAAATTGACGGTCAAACCATTCTTACGGGCCAATTCAGTTTATATGCTGCATAGTTGAGGCCAGGATGGTAATTTCTAAAACCACGGAGCAAAGTTGATTATATGGTCATAGTTCAGGACAAAATAAGGTATTAACCCAAATAAATCAAGCTCACACAAACCATCCTTTAAGTCGAAAAATGGGTTAATACAACACAAATGAAACACAAAAACAGCTAAGGTTACAAACCCAAGCCATTTCCCGATAACCTAGAATTTCCCTGGCAATGTTGGCAAAAACTTGGTTTTCTCTAACTACAACTTCCCAATCGAGGACCAAGTATAACCAACAACTACGTGTAGCCTAGGGTAAACAAGTAATAAAAAGGGTTAATATATTTGCCTAACCTGAACTTTTCTCATATTTAACATCCTGACCAATTCTTTTGGTATTTAACATCGTGACCCGAACTAACCCTGCACCTTACTAATTTGGCAAAACCCGAGAGTTGACCGTCAATTTTGACGGACAATGTCGTTGACTAACGGTCAACCCACCACGTCACTGCCTAATCAACATAAATAAACTTAAAAATTATTATAATTAAATTCAAAAACTAAAACAAAAATTGAGAAATATAATCTCCCAGTCCATTCGCCTCGAGATCCTTCCGCCGGAACGCCGATCAGCTACAACTTAAGACCCCTGCTTCGTGATCACAATACCTCACCGCCTGATCCGCCATTGCCTCGATCTACTCCAGCCGGAACGCCGTTTCCTTCGGATTCCCGCTCCTTTGGTTGGATCTGCTTCTCTACTTCGCCAGGATTCTGATTCTCTGCTTCGCTGAGAGTCGGAATGGAAAAGGAAGAGGAAGAGAACCCCTCCGTGCTCTGCCGCTGCCCAAATTGAAGGCCTTCCTCATCCCGTGACGCTGCTGCAATCCAACGCTTCCCTATTCCAATTCGACCTAGTCGATAATTGCATCCTCCTCTCCGTCTCCTCCTACAAGTGAGCAGTAGCGGCGAGTGAGCAGCAACAATCATTTCGAGGGAGCAACAACGGTAGCGAGCAATAGGAGGGAAAGGCTATGGTGGGAACGGATCAGGTCAGTAACCTTATGGTGAGTAACTATGAGTAACCAGCCCACATCAGCATGAAATCAGCATCCCTCTCTCTCCTGGAAAGCCTTTAATTTTTCCCTCCTTAATCTTTGACGGACGATTTCTCACTCGTTTTAAGTCGAAATTTGAT